ACGCGTCGTGAATAAACATGCTTAACACCGTTGCCGCCGCCTTCCCGAGACCGACCCACCGACCGACCAAATCCACTTTCCGTAACATTGCGCAGACCTGTTGCTGTATATCGCGTAATGTCGTGTTGCATGCACCGCACCGATAACACGATCTATTTTGGTACTCATCTTGAACCACGAAAGCCTCGTAAAACGCCGACGGACAGACGACTTCGCGCTGCGTTGCAGAATCGCACCATAGAATCGCATTTAGACTCGCCGCTTATGAAATCGAAAATCGTCTGACTTCCGGAAGAACTGAAGACTAGATTAAAGAGAGATAATAATTGAATCCCATTAAGATGTAAATGAAATTTCCATTTCTCTTCACGGCGTATCTCGCTAGAATCGGAGTCTTCCGTCTCTTTTTCTCTCCACTCACGTTGAGATAAAACATTTACTTTTCGCAATGTGTGTCCCGCTAATCTTTCTTCTGACTTTTAGTCTCATTGTGAGAATATCCCCTCTGACGAGAAAATTTAGCAAATTTTAACATGAAACGTAATTACTTATGCAACGAAGCTTGATATATGTATGTTCGCAGCCGTAAGTCCTGTACGTCTGCCCGTCGTTCTTTCTCACGAAAGTTTTATTCGCCTCTTTGTTATAGTGAATTTCCGTAGCTAAAAATTGTCAAGAATTCACGATATCCCCTTCAACCGGTAAAAAATAATTAAAACAAAAATTCCACGCAGGATATTTCGCTGCTTGAATTTTAATGAGGACTTCTTTTACCGATATAATATGATACCAATATTTTCGTAACAAAGAGCTCTAATAATCATTAATCTCTCTTTATACAAAAGCTGATCTACCATGTACATGCATTAAAGACATAAAAAAGAACTTTCACGCACTTTATATACGTATATGAAAGTTATCTTAAAAAACGCTTAAACATTAATAAATTTAATTGCCAGTCATTCTTTTCAGTAACGAATTATTAATATAAGAATATGATGTCGCACTTTTTACGATTTTTCTTAATAAAAGCTTTTTTTTCGTTTGTATAAATGGCTCATCCATGTGAATCTCTTTCGAAATGGGACATGTGTTCTACAAACGTCCGAAATTTGACACACACGTGTTACAGACATATGTAGAGGTTCACCTGACCTCTCATGCGAATATTAACAGCAACGTATGGTCGATATTCGGCCGATAAGCTCTGACGGCTGGTTGAAACTCACCACACTGCCTCTGCAGTTCATCAGATCTTGGCACAATAAACACCGTGTCGTCTTCTTTCAAAACTTGCAAACTGCACGGACCATGAATCACGGCATCTTGTAAACGGATCCACCGCTCCTCGTTCCTCTCGATTTCCGCGTACGCACCGGAAATAAGCTCCCCGGCACAATGTCAGTGAGCGGTATACTGTTTCATTGTCGATAGCATCGACTTCCGAATCTCGTGGCCTCGACAAAGCTATGCGAGAGAGTTTCGCGGAAAATTTATCCTTCGATTATTCGTCTCACGCGCGAATAGTTCCTCCAAACGTTAAAATTACCGCTTGAAGAGATTCCCAGAAAGCGCAATAAATGATTGATAAATGAACAAAATAGCTGAAAATAATATAATAATTGAATAAATAAAAGAGTTGAAATGAATTTATTGCGAGAGTAATGAATGAGATTTTTTTATACCTTACGAACTTTTAATGATAGAAATATTACAATAATTATGTGTATATTTAAATAATAAATTAATATTTATGTGTATGTCATTCTTAATAATATCAATTAATACATTTAAAGAAATTCTAAAAAATTTGAATAAATGTTAAACCAGTTAACTGCATGACTGCCAGATTTAAAAAACAATTAGTTTGTTTAACCTTCTGAAAATTAACGTTGGATTTTTACAAGTTTTATAAAAATTATTGTTTCAATTATAGTATTCTGTTTTATGAATTGTTAATTATTTTACAATAATTTCAAATCTGTAATATTTTTGTTATAAACCATTTGAAAAAAAAATTTAAAAACTCGTTATTAATCAATTTTCGTGTAACGATATATTCCAGATATTTTTCGCGATGTTACATCCAACTCAGTCATTTGGACTCTTGTTCATGCTTTAACGAGTTATATTTCTATTGCAAAATGTACTTTTAAATTGTGTTTGCTCTCGTTGCTGATTGAAATGGAAGCGCTCAACTCGTCACACTACCAGCGTGAAACGTATTATCGTTGTGAATACATTATTCACGAATCATCAAAAGTGGACATAAAATAATAAATTAATATCAAGTGATATTTAGTCAACATGTTGGTAAAAACAATAGCTTTATAGCAATCCGTAAATAAAGCACGTTCCGTGTTTTCAACTTGCGAAGCGGTATTACTGAATGATCAATGAAAATTCTCTCTTTCGAATGCTTTCAAGCGCTTTCTCGTGATATTACATCAATATTTTTATCAAGATCTTTCTCGAAGAAGGAAGTATCTGCAAACAGGAATATTCCATAAGGGAAAAAGGATTCAAAATCTCTCTTTACATTTCTCGATAAAAACATTGCGTAAAAATAGTTTTCTTGTACATATAATGAATATTTCAACATTTTGTATATATAGTAGCGTAATGTAATGTACATTATTTAAAATATTTTTAATACATATTTTTAATAATTAATTTTTCTTATATAGGATTTTACAAATATTTTTTATAAATTAAAAATATGCGTATTAATCTTGTTCATCAATCTAATTTCACAAATACTTTTAAAATATATCATAATTATTTCGTATGATTTACGAAACTAATACGGACAGCCAATTAAGCAAGAAATATCCCGTAAAATTATCAAATTAATTCTAGAACTAATAGACTCGTAATTCTCTTCACGTTCATAAACCGAAGGAGAATGGATGGAAGAGGGGACAACGCTGTCACTGAGTGCTCAGAGGAGTAAGTTTGATTATCAAGATGTCGTATTGGGAGATAGATCGGTCGGAAGTTTCGCAAAAAGAAAAAGAGAGAGAGAGAGAGAGAGAGAGAAAGAGAGAGGAGGGGACTGCTGTTCCAATTTGTATTAATAACGTTTTCAAATGCAGGCAAATGAGCGTAAGATACGGAAGTCGGTGAAGTTCTCATCGTCGTCATCAACGTCTTTACACGAGCGGCGAACTACAACGTGCAGACGCATCATCTTCCTTTCTCCTGTTCCTCCGTGCATCCTACGCAATGCTATTAAGCTTTCGGCTTTGGCGAAGAGAGCACTTTCGTCTTAGCTAACTGCAATTTAATTTTAATTATGGTTGAGAGAAGCCGGGTTTCCCGCTATAATATCCAGCCTCGGGGAGCAGAGCGCCATGAAATTTTTATCTCATCGAAATGCGCAATAAATCCCGCGATAAAAATCCGCAACGGCTGCATCTCCGCGGAACGAGGCGCTTAGCGGTGGAGCGAAGAAGGGCGAAATATTCTCGATGTACACGAAGTGTCGCATAATATAAAAAAGGAAGTTTCTTACGGGACACAGATTAAGATCTTACAGTATTCTACAAGTAGAACAGTACGCGCAAAAATATCGTAATAATATAATAAAATTCTATTCACATGTCTCTGATATTCAATTTTTTTAAGCACACCTGCAAAAAATGCAATTGCGATGTAAATACTTGTTGTTCGTGTAAATTTAACGATATGGCACACAAAAAAAACTTAAACAATGAGGCGTAAGCAGTAAGCAAATCAACATTTTGGATTTACTACTGCTTACGTCTTACTGCCTTCTTTTGTGTGCCATGTAGCCTTTACAGTTACTAAAGTCACATCTCATCTGTGTTGCGGAAGATATCGCGCGAGCAATTACTGATCCGATATTCCTCAGTTTCTCAAAGCCACTTTGTAAAATGCTCTCTTGCTCTCTGTGTATCACATTAACACCTGCTGTAAGAGCAATTTGAGGGATAAACGGGCGATCGATCGCGATAACGAACGGTGATGACGTTTTCGGCAGCCATTTCTCTTGCACGAAGCACCGCGTTTATGCCTTTATATCAAACAGGGATGCAGGAAACGTAATAGAAGAGAGAAGCCTCGTTAACTTTCTGCCTAACCCTTCTCTTCCGTTCGTAATTTCGCTCCGCTGTCAAAGTCCGAAAATTTACACGGCCGAAATTTTCTCTCTCCGCGCGCAAAGTTGGAATCACCTGGAAATTCGTCGACAGTGAGCGGTCCCCGGATGAGCGGCCAGTTATTTCGACAGCTTATCCGGCTATATAAGAGGTCAACTCTCGCAATCGCATCTCGTCGGCGACACTTGGCGATGCATGCCATGATAAATAGATGCGAAAATGTTTGCCTGCGTTTATCGGATCGATTTCAGCCGAAAACCGATGCTTATCGGAATTATGATACCGCTCTCTGAAACATGAAAAGCGTCTAATGAGCGAACGCAAATAGACGCGCTGGCGCTCCGGTAGCTGGAGGTATTACGATTTCAAAGTGATATCTCTCTCTCTCTCTCTCTCTCTCTCTCTCTCGCATTTCGCTTTCCTTTTTCATCTCGCAGAATACTTAATTAAGTTACGGAAATACCGGAGTTGCACGTAAATGGACGTTACGGGGAGATAGGTACGAGCGATTGGAAAAGTTTCCACAATTTTTTCAAAGCTATCTCGCGGGTTGCTAATCAACTTCCTTTAACTGCTTCAAACTGTCCATCGCCTTACTAAAACGAATCTTTCGGATTAAAACGGAAGAAATGATATATCGGTTAAAGAAGGTGGTAAAAAATGTTCTAAATACAATTTAGTATACTGTTATGATATACAATGCGAAGCAAGGACTCAATATGACTGGTCATTTCGTGTCTCGCACAATTATGTGCAATGGTTCACCTTGTGTTTTCACTATGATTCCATCTACCCCATGCATTCACAAAACGAATTCCATATCCAGTCAAGGTTTCGGTTTGGGCAAAGTTCAAGCGTACGTTTTCGTTTCTGTTGTAGACATGAGCATCCTTCTTTTTAATGGTTTTCTATTACTGGGCTTCGTTGTGGCCACGGTACCGGATGTTCTGGTGTTGGGTTCGCCCGGCCCTACACAGGTCGTCGATCGGGACACTTCTATGAAGAAATGCCGGTACAACAGGGCCTACTCGATGCTGGAAGCGTCCTGCTCGAATCTGGAATTGCATGATATCCCGACGAATCTGAAGACTGACATACAGGTAAGATTATCAATAAACACTGTAAGTTAATCTGTTCTTATGTTAATTGAATATAATAAATATAGTTACTTTTTTGTACGATTCAAAAGTCAAAGTATATTTTACACATCGAGATCTTCTCTTTGCTACTTGCAATAATTCGTATAAAATAGAAACTAATAAAAAAATTTACGTTAAACTGCACTAAAAATTATAGCAGAGTCTTTTATTTCTCTCCGTTCTCTGTCTCCCCTCTTTCTTTATTTTATGTTTTCCCTTTCTTTCTTTATTTAGTTTTATATTACGCGAAAGAAGCAAAACGCTTAATATTAAAAGTTTTAAATGAAAAATGTACAAAAGAAATAGTTCTAACAATAAGAATTAAGATGTATAATAAGAGTTAATAATTAAGATAATTAATGATTTTTCAAATCTTTTGATTGTCCAAGTTTCTTTTGTACAGTCGTTATATTTTTATTATCTTAACTCTCTTATTATATTATAATTCTTACTATATTATCTTAATTCTTATTACTATACGGAGAGAATTTTGTTTTAAAATTTACTCCTGAAAATATGGTAGTTGTGATACAATATAATAATTTTAAAGATTTTTATCATGCGCTTCAGTAAAATTAATCGAATTTATTTTATACTTTATTGTAATTTTATTAATGAATGAGAGAGGTTTACATTAAAATTCTTCGAAATACAATGTTGTCCCGCGACTATCATATTTTCAGGGTAAACTCTAAGAAAAAATTCTTTCCGTGTATAACCACATATTAAATAAAATTGAATTAGTTATAACTATGAAAAAAATACAATTTTTAGAATATTATATATTCCCTTTTACTCTCTTGTTTATTTCACGTTATTTTCATCAAAGGAGGTAAATCTGGCAACCTTAGTTTACGAAGGATGCACAAGACTGACTTGCGAGACGGATTGATGTCCCAGCAGGTTAACGCGTGCGCTGTCTTGTAACGCGTACTTCATAATAGCATTACAGAAGTTTCGCTTTATCAATGTCGACGATAAAACGTATATACTTGTTGATACCTTCTCGGAGACGCCTTTGTTAATCACTGTTTTACTTTTTAACGATATTTCTTTTGCGGTAATACATTACACGCTTTATGACTTTATGTAATATTAAAGCGATGATAAATCTATCTTTGAGCCCTTTAATTCGTACATTGTTAACGACTTTATGTGCGAATAATTAATCACTTTCTCCCGTCGGGTATTTCTACGGTATCACAACGCGAGCCTTTGTAGCTGTAATCTAACGAAATATTTCTGCATGCATGCTCCTTTCCGGAGCTTAAATCTTTTCACCGTTTTACGGAATGCGTTTTCCATACCATGTCCGCTATTTTTCTTTTTCTTCCTTCAATTGCCCGTCCGATACGACCGCAAATCCCCGTACGTCTACTACTATACTTTCGTACTTTGGTTGGTAAACTTGCCTCCCGATGAATCCCAGGCAAAACTCCAGACATGCTAAATCCGGAGATTGGGTTGTCCAGGGTCACGAGGATGGATGCGTTCCGCAATACACTTGAGAAATTTTAGTCGTGCAGAGATATTACCGATGCTCCAACATTTGATCTTTCATATCGGATGAGCAATCGAGAGCAATGGGCAATCATTGCAATTTTTCTTTGACCTGATCCAATTGAGTTTTCTTCAAAAGACACTTCGTGTCGATAAATAATTTTTTGTAATTAGAAATTTAACTTGATAATTTTATAAAAAATTTTGGTATCTAATCGATAACAACCTCTTATTTTTCATTTAATTTCAAACGAGACTATTCTTAATAGAATCCTTTTTTTGGTCGTTGAATCACTCGCTTTGTATCAAATTGTTATTATATAGGAAACATTAATTTAAACGTTGAAAAGTCCGCCATTAATGTGCACTTATGAAAATTACACGTAAATCTGTGCAACCACATATATGAATTAAGCATAAAGAGCTGTTTATACATTCAATCGACAAAGCTAACTCGTATGTAGAATTTAATGGACGCGTTCGCAGAAATACCAGACACATACTAATATTTCAAAGTTAGGTCTGCACAATGTAAACGTTAACAAGATGATCCTTTTAAATATCCCAGGGTGCTTTCGAATGCGTCTCAAATGAAACAAAGAAGGAACCAAAAAAATTTTATCTCATTGTTTATCTTATAATCAGTTTAAATTCTTAAATTTTCAATAAATAAAGCATCAAGAATACAAATAAGTAGCCCATTTTCCAACTAACTTAAAATCTATTTCATTTTAATGGGAGTTGTGTTGAAAATATCTAATATTCATAATTATATGAAATAAATAAATTAATCATTCTTGATTAATGATACTGCGAGACTTACTTGTAGAATTTTGCAGATCGGTACGATCGATACCGAAACTCTGTAACAAGCAAAAAATTGCATGCGAGGCATCGTTTATTAAATTAATGTATAAATAAAAGGCATTAAAAGATTCGTATATCTGTTCATTGCGTTTACATATCAAGAGGCCGCGTCAAAGAAACCATTATCCGTCGACCTAATATCTCGCGTCCTTGCATTATTGAGTTAGCTACGCCATTAATTCTTCTCGTCGACCGGCTAATCTGACAAGTGCATCTTTAGTAAAGATTCTTTACGGAAACAAAGATCTTATTGATAAATTCCGACCTCTTTCCGTTCAACAGAATTACCATTTTTTATCTCGAAACGTTTTTACTAACAGAAATCTGATAAATGACGTGAATGGTGTGATAATCTTTATTTAAAAAACACACTGCGTATCTTTAGAAATGAAGATATTAAGATAATATTTTTGTTTATTAATTTTATTCTTATACACACATATATATATATACTATTTATTATTTTCTCGTTGTAATAATTAATGTACCTATTATTAAACTCCGATATTACTGGATATTGAAATTATATAAGATTTTAACGTTTTCCAATCCAATTCAATTGAACGATGTATGCTCATTATTTTTATTTATACAGAGAATAATCTTTATAAACATATTTTTCTGTTTTTTAATCCTTTTATGTACATGTCTTGTTTGATTAATATTTGATGAAAATTTCTGTTATAGGTACTAGATGTTACCGTGAATCGATTGAGAGAATTGATGAACGATAGTCTAACCTCTTACAAGAGCTTGGCCTATATCTATTTGGGTGACAATTTCATCCAAAATATCGAGGAAGGAGCCTTTGCCAAACAGAAGTACCTAGAAGTGCTAGATCTTTCACAAAACGGTTGTGACACTTTGCCGAAGAGCCTCTTCCAGCTGCCGTATCTCCGCACGCTTTACCTCGGTTACAACAAGCTTACCGACTCGGTATTCAAGGTGGAAGTTACCTCGCCCATCAAGCTGTTACAGTTGACCAGAAATAAGCTCACCAAGATCCCGTATATCGGCCCTCAGCCGACCCTTGTCACCCTCAACGTGTCCGAGAATCTGATTACCTCGGTCAATACTGAGGACCTAGCGCCGTTCTGCTCACTGAAGTTGCTCGATCTCTCGCGGAACATGATCAAGTTCAACAGCGTCGCTGCGAATAGTTGCGAATGCGAGATGTTGAATGCCTGGGTGAGGCTACGTCAGATCAAGATGAAGCCTAATTTCTTCAATTGCACCAATTCGAAGACCATAGCCGAGGATTGCGCCAATTTGCAATTCAGCAATCGAACGTATGAATTGTATAATCAGTGTTCGATCATCATACAGCAGAAGGTGGAGACTGAAAAGGCCCGCTCAGTCTGGATATTGGTAGTCTCGTGCGTTTCGGGATTCCTTTTCGTCGTCTTCACGGTGCTGTGCTGCGTGCACAAGCGGAATCGTAGGCGACGCAGGAAGCAAAAAGAACAACAGCAGCTAACAGCGAACAATGCCAACACTGAGTTACTTAATAGCAATCTGACAACCGGTAATTCGTGAAATAATCGCCGAAACGTACAACAATAAAAATTGTAAAGAATCCTGTGTCGATGCCGAGAGTACAGCTTTATATAAATCGCGAGGAAATGAAAGTTAAGGAGTTATCGACTTTGAAAAAAAAATTAACGATGTTCAAAGTATTTGAGATACCTGTTGGTATTTATTGAGAGTTTAATCAACGGATTCAGAGAGAGAATTTAATTGGATATATCGACAGATACGTGCCTAACAGTTTGTATCTGATCATTAATATACATTTACAATCGCATGTTCAATAAATGTGAGATTATAGTTTGAATTCTTCTGGCATGATTGCCATTTTCAAAGATATTACAAGTTTTCAGAAGAAGTGAGATATAGCCTCATAAAGTATGAACAATATAATACAAATTCGTTACCATCCAAGATATCGAGCGAAATGTGATTAGATTTTACTTAAGTATTAGATTACTTAAAACTCCGAAGAGAAGCGCAGCCATCGAAAGTAACCAACTTCGTGAAGACTATGCTTACAAGATATAAACGCGTTAACTTATAAAATGTGTAAATGTTCTATATTGTGTTCACATATATATATATATAATGGTTACAATATATACATATAAAATCTATGTGAATGTGATGGATTTTCAAGGACTCTGCGTGTTTTGAACGAATATATTCATCTCATTATACTCTGCGACGATAGAAATTACCGATTTTGATTTTGGTCGAACAAATCTTGAAAACTGGTCGCGCTCATTATCGTGCTTTTGTCAATGTAATAGCAATGGGAAGGATAATATTTATTGCACGGTACTTAAAGAAGAGTTTTCTTTCAAAGGATATTGCGATGTCAAAGTGGATTCTTTTATCCAAGTATTAATGTATTATGATGTTGATTTTATTTTTTGTCAGAATTCTCTCTCTCTTTTCTCACTTATTTTACATGATGACTTATTTTGTATGATGGCATTTTTATTTATTTCTTATGTAAGCTAAGAATAGGTAATTTTGTGTATTTGTTTATAAAAATATATAGTGTATACAATAGTACATTATAGTAGAGTAATAAAATTTATACAATCTTATTTCTTGAAATTAGTTTTCTTCTTTCTATTTTTCTGAAACATTTCCATTATGTGGATACATAAGTACGTTACTGTAATTATTATATTTAAAGAATAAAGTTAAGTTATATGTAACTCATACTTATACTTCATAATATATATAATTATTATACTATAATTATAATATTACGAAACTATATATAAATTATGAAGTATATGTATACTTACCTCATATATATATATATATATATCGGTACAAAGAGCCGCAATCCATTTTTAGAATATGAAATATTACAGATTCGTATTATGGATGCGAAATATTGCCCAGCTTAGTTCCTAATATTTATTTCATACGGGTGCAGAGATGGTCATTTTTTTATTTCATCATAATATCGTAAAGCGAATAAAATAATCATACCATCGAAATAACGCAACATTATATGAGACGCGTGCGTTACGATATGTCAAAGAACTTTTATACTAATTTCCATGTTACCTTTTAATATATGCGAAGGACCTTTGTATATGTATTGTATGTACAGAGATATTAATAAAACTCCAATAAAATTTGATCTTTAAAAATCCAAACCATTTTCACCTTTTTCTCAAGATACTTGGTACATATTTATGATTTCTAACTCAAAAATTGAAGGAATAGTAAAAAAATCTATTTGATTTGTAGAAGTTAATGACTTATATTTGTTTAATGCGATACAAATCTTTTTATATGTAAATATCTTTATATATATATCTAAACTTCAAAATTCAGCGAATCAAATTTTTAATAAAAAAAATATACTGAATTTTTTTATTCTAAGATTACCGGAATTCAGCCATGCCCTTATTCTAAGATTTTTTTCCTTCAATCCTTTTATTTCAATAACATGTCGATAAAAATTATTTTATGCTCTGCCTCATTTAAATAGTAAAAAATGCAAGAGAAAAATTAAATTAAATTAAATTAAAAATTCTTAATTGAAAGGAAATGAACCATTTAAGAGGAGGAAATAGTTTATTTGGAATAAAAATTTTTTAAATGAAGGAAATGTACATCGTACAAAAACTGACGAAACAAGACAATTTTATTGGCAGAATGCATTTTTAAACTGATGAGTTTTATTACAAAAATGAACTAACATTGAAAATATCTATCGACTCTTATTAATATACGCGAAAGTGCATTTTTTCAATATGATAAAATAGTATTCTTATATAAAGAGAAGGAAATTTTTCTATAAACCTATAAACCGGCTACAAGTACTTAACTGATTTATATAGATAAAATACGAACAATTTGTCCGTTAAAATTTTTTCGGTTCTTTTAATGCTATCAAAAAACTTATCCTAACTTAACATTCGCCTAAAAACAGCTGCTGTCATTATCGTGAAAAATAAGAATCACGAGTATATTTGTACGTTAATTTGTAATTTTATTATTAGTATAAATGATACAAAGCTGAATACAATTAAGAAAAATCATGTTGAATGCACAGGTGGGCGCGATTGTAGGAACAAATACGTTTCCTATACTTTCCATGAAATTATTCTGTAGAAAGATCAAATGAACATCGGCAATATTTATGCAATTTGATGCACAATTTCGCGGCTTATCACGGCCGAAGAATACGCTCCTTCATTGGCATATCTGGAGACATGGTAGTGTCTCGGCGCTAAGCCAAGCGCAGCGACACTGCCGTGTATAAATATACAGCGTTCGGTTAAATATCACTCGATCGGAAAGTGGAAATAATATTCAATCGAACATTTAATCGAGCGTTTTTTTCGGCGTTTACTGAGGTGAAACTGTCCATCTAATTGACAGTCATACATCTATCATATTTAGCTTTCCCATAGTCTCGCATTATTATTGTGCTTAAAAGAACAAATACTGGTAATCCAATCGTTTTTTTTTATTTTTTTGCTATTGAACGAAATGAACAAATACAAACGTAAACAATTATCATAAATTAAGAAATTATTAATAACACTCGAAGCATCTCTACTTCGGTACTTAATGGGAGCACAGATAGATGCACAATGATGGTAACCGTGAACTTGTAACGTAGCATACAGCATGAAGAGGAAGAAGTTGCTGAATACAAATACGTACATTAATATCCGTCTTTACTCGTTAATCATTCTATGGCTGTGGGTTTAACAGAATATAATAGCATTTCCTCTTTTTCTTATTTCTTTGTAATGAATAGAAATTGATAAATGCAAAAAAAAAACGTATTTCATTCACATCACGAAACCCATTTGTTAAGTTTGATTTGAACTCTTGTCGGTCCAAATATGTTATACAATATCTTCTCATATATGTATACATATATAATATATATATATATATATAAAATTTTCTATTACATAAATGTAAGGAAAGTTATATAAATGTTCAACTGCAATATTCAACTCGAAGAGAAAAAGAATAAAAGTAGAAAATATGAAGATTATTGCTACTTTTATTTTTCTTTTCTTCGAAGTGAATATCAGACAAATGATCTCTTGTATCTCATATATCTCTGACATTGTACTCTAAATTAATTTCTTTAATGGCATAATCTTTTTTTTATTTTCACCATTTCTAAACGGTGCTTACGGAATAAAGCTGCATTATCATACAAGCTTTTAAAATATTTTGATATTCTTAAATTTATGATAAATTTAGGTTCACATAATGTGGCAACGTTCTTCACTTTGGGGATCGCTCTGAAACATAAAACGTATATATATCTTATTAACAAAAAGAAATGAAAGAAATAAAATGATTGAGTAATCACCGCAGACCCCAGTTTACTTAATTCACTGTGTGAATATCGACATGTCCGTTTAATCACAGATATAAGCAAATAATGAATCTTATTGTTATATTCACACGATGAAAAATATATGCATATGCAGACAATATATCTCTCGAAAACATTACTTTTTCTTTACATCTTTTACATACAATGATCTATATTATTATATTAATATATGTGCAGTAATGTAGAATACACATGAGTGCTAAATCAGATTTGTTATTTGTAAATGTTTTTACCATTCGCATTCTAAGTAAAGCACATACAACTTCATAAATGACTCTTTCAGCACTAACCCGTGATTTCATATATATAATATTATATTGAAATGATACCATGAAACTCGTAAGTAATCGATATATTATTAATAAATGTCAAAAGATGAAAATTTCGATTATCCACCGAAATACAATATAAAAATGGCGTTTTGTAAATTTATCTTATTGATCGCAATATTTGCAAATGCAACTTTACTCCATAAAAGCTGCATTTGCGCATAAATTCGCCTAAATTCAATCTACGGATTTTGCATTCATAGAATATGTTCAGGATATTCAAACATTAATAACATATAAAAATACAATCAAAATTTCTTTAAAATATTATCTATATTAGATTGAATCCCGTGTAAGAAAGAAAGCTTTAAGTATTGTATACGTAGATAACATTTGATAAAATGTATATTTGACAATAATATCTTAATTAAAGACAATGTGGTTAATTAATGGGATGGTCATAGTTTTATATATAACGAAGATTATATATATATATATATATATATATTAATTCTCATAAGATATGAAATTTTAGTTAAGCGGTGAGCATCCAGGCAAAATGTTGCATGAAAACCAACAAATATGAAGCAAAATAATTCCTATATATTATGAGTGCGAAGAATATTATCGATAACGTAATGTTTGAACATCTGATAGGTTATAAAACAACTTACATAAAGTGCCCATCAGAGTCGTGTGCCCTCACCCTTAATACGGGTAGAGATATCTTCTCTATGAAACAAGAAGTGAATTGTGAAAATAATACACCCCAAAAAATTAGTTATCTATAACTGCAACACTTATTCTGTATATGTCAAACTTCCAGAAACAAATGGAAAATAAATAATATCTGATTGTCTACTATTTGTTACGTAAATATTAAATTAACCCCCGTAATGCCTTAAAAACTTGAAATAGCCACATTGTCTTCTTCGACGTTTAAAAATCAGAAAGCATAACTCTCTTCCAAGATTTATTATGCTACTGATTAACATATCTTTAGTTTTCCAAAATACAGAAGTTTTTTTTATGATAATTGCACTGCTATTATAATTTTCTAGACATGATTTCGTGTGTCGATAATATATCAAAATAATGCTGCAGTTAAAATATAACGCTAATGCACATCAGCGTTATATTATTATTACATCCCACTTTTATGATATTTTTTTTCTTAATAATGTCTATTTTTCTTTAATTCCGAAAGTAGTTTAAAGCTTTCGTTTCACTACACATTCAATGTGATATATAATACAATAATGAACGTTTATTGCATCCTCACCTGTTGATGATGGAGTTCTTCTGATGGTCGGAATCCCAAACTTTCTCTGTGTCGGGACAAAGCTGTGGACAATTGCTGCCTCTTGCGCTCAGAAGTTGCCATTTCCTATTAGAAAATTTACTTAACCTCACACCTTATCGTATTTAATATAAAATTAATTCTTAGATGCATACATAATATAACATTACACTGTCGGAAATATCTAAATGTAATTATCTCATTCAACAAGTCTTATGTTATTTTACAAAATTTATTTAAAATATTTATATTGATAAAGGGAAATGTGCATCTAAGAATTAAATGTATAGTAAATAACACACGTACCTCTCCTTCGATATTTGTCAATGTAGTAGTCATGTTATCTCCTACAAACCACTTCTGACCCTTCATGACGATGTTAGAAGGTGGCTCGTGCGTTGCACCAATATCAGCCGACCACACCATCACGTTAGCACCTGCATCGAGCTTTACGCTACGATGAAACTT